CGCTCATCAGAGGCAACCACGAGTCTCGCCAGATCACGACTGTATACGGGTTTTACGATGAGTGCTTACGGAAATACGGCAGCGCAAACGTTTGGAGGTAGCTCGTGATCCCGTGCTCCTGATATTGAGTCAATGCTAACATTGGCAGGTATTGCTGCGAAGTCTTTGATTACCTAGCCCTCGGTGCTCTCGTACAAGGCGCCGCAACATCGCTCCAAGCCACCGATGGCCCCATAGCCGAGTCCAGCAACGCAGAGAACATGCCCGACATTGACCAAGACATCGAGATTGAAACGCTCAACGCGAACGGCGAGGTTATGTACCGCTACGCACGCAACTCGGACTCCCAGTCAAGCGCCGCCTCGCAAGTTAGCGCAAACATGGGCTCCTCGTCCCCCGTCGCCCCAACACCCGGACGAGTTGGCCCTGCAGGAACGGGCGCAACCTCGTCTGCCAACGGCTCAGCTCGAAACGATACCGGAGCGATCTTATGCGTACACGGAGGACTGTCACCGCTCGTCGACTCTGTGGATAAGATTCGGCTTTTGGACCGAAAGCAAGAGGTGCCACACGAAGGAGCTATGTGTGATCTCCTCTGGTCCGATCCCGATGAGATTGACGGATGGGGCCTGTCACCGCGTGGTGCAGGCTTTCTATTTGGAGCCGATATTGTCAAAACGTTCAACCATAAGAACGACCTCAGTCTCATCGCAAGAGCACATCAATTGGTCATGGAAGGTTTTAAGGAAATGTTCGACTCAACAATTGTCACTGTCTGGTCAGCGCCAAACTACTGCTACCGTTGCGGCAACGTAGCCGCCATCTTGGAACTTGGCGAGGATGGATCAAACGCTGGTTTCCAAAGGAGATCAAACGGCGACAGAGCAGGCGGTGGTGGAGGCTGGGTGCTAGGCTCCAACGCTGGACCAAACGGCGAGAGGCGACTGAGTTCCGTACTCAACGACACTTATCAGAAGAACAGGGACGGTCCAGGACGGCGGTACCGGGTGTTTGAAGCTGCTCCCCAGGACTCGCGAGGCATGCCGGCGAAGAAGCCAGTAGCGGACTACTTCCTTTGAGGAACGGCGACATTACCGCTGGAATTGGAGTTGAATAAAGCTTGAGGGTTGGATACCATGCCTCGTCAGGCCATTCCCGCGTTGCTTATGAGGGGTGCTTCAGAACACATCCTGCAATTGAGCTTGGGCGTTTGGAGTTTGCAATAAGAGTCCAATGAAGTTAATGGGGCGAAGACACCCGGCGCTTGATGCTGGATGAAGCGATATAAGACTCCATTGTTGCTATACCGTCACCCGACCAACGCTCATGTGCCGCCATATCTCTGTCATGTCTTCACTTTCCTCAGCGCGTTAATTGTACAACAGATCTGAGACCACTCCGTCCATGCCAATAGCCAACTCTGATGAAACCCTGGAACGCCGTGGGATGTTACGAAGATTGGATGCGACCACTCTCCCAAGCATGACGACATCTCATGCTATGCGTCGACGGCGTTGAGTGTTGACCTCATTACAAAGTCATCGAACTAACGCAAACGTTCGTTAGCATCCGGAGCCCAGGTGTTGCGGGATCTTCTTACCGTGTACGGCTTTTACGTATCCCAAAGTCTGCAAGGGCGACGGCACGATCATGGTTCGCGTTCATCTCTCCAAGCTCAACATCTGGTATTTGTCAGAAGCAGAGCTAGGACAACGATGAAGATCAATCAACATACCGACTTCCGAGCGCGCGATCTGACGACGAGGCATGAATCTGCGCAAGAAGTATGCTAGGAGAGGGATGCAGGTGGCTAGTAAGGTAACGAAAGCTATGATTGCTTCAATCGACCAGGAAGACATCGTAAAGTTGGTGTAATACTACTGATAACCGTCAACGCAGAGTATGAAGAGGAATGTGACGTTCGAGGAAGAGCGCATCCTCCATTCCGTCTTATCATATGCTCAAAAGCAGAATCTGCTCTTGAAGCCTCTACAGAATCTGTAATGGTACTTTTGCAGGTTTTGCATAATTGGTCAACATGCGCTCCGCCTCCATTCAACCAGGCATAACAGGGTGGGTCATCTTTACAGAATCTTGCTTTAACCGGATTGGGTCACTTGCTGTCATCATACAACCCAAGATTTTGTTTTATGTTGTGTTGAAGTTCCGTGCCGCGCGCAGGTTTTGCACAATTGGTCAGTTCCACCATGGGTCATTTTGTTAGTTTACAAAATCTTGCGGCAGCCAGGTTTTGCATGATTGGTCAACTAGTATGCGGCTGACTGAGGTAGGGGACCCGATGTCGTGTTGTTGGTGCACACCAGACGTGGCGGACAGGCGCAGCATGCGTCAGGCACGGCTTGGAATACAAGCTTGAGCGGTCAAATATCTAGGCATGCTCCAAAACTTTCAGCCTGGTCGGTGCCCTGCTTCTTCCTCTCTTCTCCTCAGCCTCACACTCCGCTGCACAAGATGAACAACACTGTCAAGACCGGCAGACTCGATGAAGCAATATGGAATCGCTATCGCACGACGATCGAGAGCCTTTACTGGGAAACATCACTCGATAAGATCGATGCGCATATGAAGAAGCATTATGGTTTTGTCGCTAGGTACTTCCACCATTGCTGCATCATAAGTAGAAGAATACTAACGCTAAGAAGCAAATCACAATACGAAAGGCATTTCCGCAAATGGGAGCTGCGGAAGAATCTGACAGCGGCGGAATGGGCAGCAACTATCAGGCATTTGACGGAGAACTCGATTGATCTTGAGCAAGTCGAAGTGTTGTTCAAAGGACGTGAGATCCCCCAGAATAGAGTTATGCAGGAGATAGCACGGCGCAGCTCGCTTGTCAACACCCTGCACGATGGTATGTTATGTTCAGATCTACCTAGATAGATATTGAGTGCTCATCGGACACAGGTTCCCATAGGCTTCCCAAGGACATCACCGTGCGGCCACGAGCACGCGCGCCGGCCATCGACGCCGCGGTTAACGTTGAAATCATACAAGCTTCTGCTGCAAACTCTGCTTCCGATGCTACGCAATCTGACTCTGATGTTTTCAGCCAATTCACAATGATGTCACCCATGACAAACGTCCTCAGCCCGATCTGGCCTGCCTTTATCGCCGGGTTTGCCCTGCCATTTTCCTGGAGGTATTCTTTGGATTTTGACTCCATTTCAAAGGGCCTTTTGCCTTCCCAGCAGTTGCTCAAGTGGAGGCAGCCAGTCAAGACGCGACTCGATGCGATGTTCTACTCAAGAAGTCAGCCGCTCCTGGAGACTATACAAAAAAGCCTCAGTCCAGTACTTCCATTGTACGCGATCACGTCATTAGTCAACAACGTATCTTTCTCCAGCCATACGAATTTGAATGAAGCGTACACTATGTTGAAGATACTTCCTTCGCAAGTGGTACTTCGAAGCTTGAGAGCCCTTCCGGCTCCAATACTGGACACTATCAAAGAAAGAGTTTTTGCAACTGCTGTCAGTGTTGGGGATGTAGATATCGTATCGACCATGCTGGAACTGAGCATGGACCCTCGCGAGAAGATCATGATGGACTGCCGACCTGGCTCGGAACCGACCTACCCACTTCAGCGTGCCCTTGCTGCAGGTCATTTCGTGGTTGCTAAAATACTTACTTCGAACATGTGTCGAGGAGCAACTCAATCACAACTTGAGGAATTGATTGGCTGTGTATTCGAAGGAGAGAGATCAAGTAATTCCTCCAGAGACCACGCCAAATCCTGCGAATCAGAAAGGACAGAGCTGATGTGTATCGCTCTTCGCGCTGGGGCCAGACCTCATCAGAAATGCTTCGTGACTGCTTATGCTGCTCGGGTTTCCGTGACATCCCTTAAGCAGCTCGTGAAAGCTTCAACGGCAAGTATTATCGCATGGCTGGAAGCAGGCCTACTGGAACGCTATTTCGCCGACTACAAACATGGAGGGGAGCTACCGGAAGCCCGAATATCCTTGGCTATAGACGTTTTGCAATTTGTTCTTTACGACAAGGAGCACCATCTGCCAACGACTGACCCAAGATTCAAGACAGCAATGTTTAGCACACTTTATGTCGCTCTCCATCCGCAACATGAAAGAGCCGTAGAGATGATCCTGAAAGCATTCAGTTTTCTGGGATATCACCTTGACGACGGCGACGCTTACGTTTGCGATCCCAACGCGCATGGCTTCATGGACAGATCCATTCTGGACGCGTTCGACAACACAGACTGGAATCTGTCAGCGTCTTTGATGATAGCAAAAGGGTCTATCGCAAACTCGGGCAAGGCTGATACAATCGACGAGCAAAAGTCACAGCTTCAACATGCAATTGAAAAGAAAGATCTAAGACTTGCATTTCGCCTGTATACCCTTTTGAGCTTGGGTTACAAGGAACATGAGTTTGGAAAACGCCTGGTCGAACTCGCAATCAGTCACCGCGACTCTACTACAGCTATCAACATCATTGAGAATATGTCCCACTGGAGGGTGGATGGTCTCACAATCATGCTGAGTCATAGTCAGATCATGGCAGTCAGTACCCTTCTAGGAAGGAACCCGATTTGGAAAGATGCATTGGAAGCTGCGAGCGGACATGAGAATTTCGAACCCTTGGAGACGATGTTTTTCCACGGCTTAGGGCTTCCTATCATCAATTTCGGAACAGGAAGACAAGTTGTATTGCAGCAAGCTGATCTTCAGCTGGGTTTCCGAGCTATTTTTTACCATTGCATGGCAACGAACGACTACGAATTATGTCAATGGCTGCTACGAGTCGGCATGGACCCCGACGAGTTTTTCGTACAAACTGACGATGGTATTTCGATCGAAAAACGCTCGAGGTTGCACTGCTCTCTTCCTGGGGGTATAGGCACGCAATATCTTGACGATGACTATATATTGCCCTCTCTTCTCGCCGTCGCGGCTCAGGGAAACCGCATAGGTTGGATGAAATTCCTTGCGGCGAATGATGTCTCAGTTGTTGATTCAATGGCATTATTACAGGCAATCAAGTCAAGGGCAAATATCGCCACTGTGCGTTTTCTTCTAGACGCTGCAAAGGCGGAGAAGTCTTCAGTCAAACGAAGCTATGGTGTCGCGGCACTTCGCCAAGCAATTCTTTACCGCGACATCGATCAGATCGACGTTCTGTGTAGTGTTGTAAACGTTGATGAGATCGAGCCATTCAACGAAGAGTTCGTGGTAAAGGAACCTGCGGTCAGTCCTCTTGGCGAAGCAATCATTGCGAAAGATTCGGAAATAGTCCAGGTACTATTAAAGCTTGGTGCTAGTCCAAACGCATACGTATCCTTCGATGGCTTGAAGATGTTGAAGCACATCAAGAGTCACATACGACGCGTAACTCCATTACTGGCCGCTATCAACGTACAGAGTCTTCCCCTGGTGAAGATCTTGGTAGAACACGGAGCAGAGCTGCAGTACACACGCAATATGGGTATCACCCGCACACCTTTGCAAAGAGCCGCCGAGACTGGGAGCTTCGACATCGTTGAGTATCTCGTCGATCAGGGTGCCATCATCGATACAAACCTAGTTTACTCGGGCGGTACCGCGTTGCAACTGGCTTCCATGAACGGATTCTGCGGCATCGCAGCGTTTCTCCTCGAGCACGGGGCCGATCCAAACTACCCACCGGCCAAAGGTTACGGCCGAACTGCTTTCGAGGCAGCAGCAGAGTGGGGTCATGTCGACACGATGTCGCTTTTGATGCAGTGGAACGTCAACCTCGATGCGCAGTTTGGAGAGCCTCCCAAAAGTCAGTACGAGCGGGCTCGGCGGTTTGCGAAGAAGAACGGTTTCATGGCCTCGAAGCGATTCGTTGAACACCTCTATGGGCAAAGGACTAGAGACGAAAGTTGGCCTGCGGGTTTGGCGTTGGATTCGATGTGATCGATGTGCTGATAATGCGGAGTACTGCGGACATCTCTGGGACGTGTGTTGGGTTAGTTCAAATAGAATGCGCCACTGATATCTTACCCAGGTTTACAAGTTGAGTGTGGTCACAACTGGAGTGTCGGGTATGGACTTGCTGATGGCTAGTGGACCCAAACTATGACGTCTCATTAAGATGTAGCTATAAGCTCAGCTCACTAGCATAGCTACCACCTCGTTCTCTCGACGTCTTTTCACTTAAATCCTCCATGTGGACAAGTTCGACCTCCTCGTCGTTTTCCTCGTGCCGGACTGCAAAGGTCCTGGTGTATGTAATCGTGTTGGGTTCAACGGCCAGGCCTTCTTTCCCACCTCTGTCACTTCTCAACGTGTCTAGATTCTGAGTTGTGCCACGACTTCTTCTACTGCCGTTTCCGTTCGCGCTGCTTCGCTGGGTGCTTCCTTGTATCGAGCTGATGACTGAAGGGATTGCGCGGATGAAGATCAGGCGGAGAGTCGGGATGCAGGCGCATATTACTCCGACGTGGAGCTCGTACATGGACCACAGGACGACTTTCGCTTGCTTCCATGTATAGTTGTTGTCGCCGTCGAAGAAAAAGAGCGATTTCAGGCGGAGGATGGAGACTACTGTGACACTGCGGAAATGTAAGCTTGGGGCTAGGTGATGTAACGTGGGCTGCAAGGGCACTGACAAGGTACCAAGAGAGAACATCAATGCCACGCCGAACTTCTTCACCCATGTCATCTGGAGATGATAGACCTCGTATAGAGGAATAGCTATCATCCAGAGGTCCAACACAATGCCTATAATGGCATGCATCCATACTACCGCATCCATGTTGAGACATTTTGTTGGTCTTTCCATGTCCCATCCCGTCCAGAAATCACTAACCTACATTGCCAAGGACGAAGTTAGCTGGTGTACCGTACACCTCGTGAGTGATCTTGACGTACCGGTAGACATGGCATCGCGGCGGGAATGAAAATGGAGAAGGTCCATAATCCAATAAAGATAATAGTTCCCCACAAAAGCTGTACTGTTCGCCGTCTGAGGAATATCCGTAGGAAGAAGGAAAGGAGCGTAATCTTGACCAAGGCAGCCTGGAGGAGGTATAGTAGAGTGACGACGTATAGCCATCGTATAAAGTTGTCGATGTGGTCGAATGGGACGTTCCAAATGTCGATACCGATGCCATTCGGAAGCATACACCTGTCGACAATAACGACAGATGGTACGGCTAGAACCACCGTAGCTAGCACGAGGAAGTCGTCCCAATTAAGCCCATTGACGTGGAAAAACATGTGGTAACTAAAGCGTAAGATGATGCAGGAGCCTGTCACTACGGCCAATACGATGTTTGCCACGCGTAAATGGGTAATTTCTGAGCGAACAGGCACGTCGCAGAGAGCTGAAGTTACGTTCTTGGTGGCTGGGAGTGTTGTAAGCAAGTGTTCAGTGCATGGCGGCGAATTGGACTTACTCAAACTCTCCTTGACTGTACACGTTGAAATTACGCATTTTTCCGCTGCATTTTGGAGCTCAGCGTTAGCACATACGCATTGCTTATCCGAAAGTTGGCAGGGTGAATCAACTACAGCTGTCGCTAGGCACAATTGCTACAACCATTAGCAACATATCATTTGACCCATGTTGGCTGTTACATACCGCGCAGCTTGGAAGCGAGCCGATGGCCTTGAGCGCGGCGGCGTCCTGTGCCACCCCAATCGAGGCCCATGCCGCGAGGACCAGTAGTAGGTACAGCGGCCATCTCATGTCTCGTCTCGTCCGGCGACACACAGTATCCAAGTCGAAGTTGTCTGGCAAGAGGTGGGAACAAAGAAGGAATCAACGTTCCAGCAAAGGGGCCTTCGCGCTTGCAAGGCCGCGATTTGTATATATGCTACAAGGCTTTGGTATGGCTGATCCGATCCGCCTCGTGGCTTCCTGCAGCGTTGCGTGCTAACAAAGTTTAAATGTGCGGTACCCTTGAGTCTCCCAACCAGAGGAGCCGCACCCCTCAACGTCGTCCAACGGTTCCGTGTTCAGCTGGACAGCCACCTGCGCAACGCATTCCAAACGTTTGCTGAAAAGAGTAGGCTTGTAGCTGCATGTGTGCGGTATAGCATACTGAACGCATCGAAGAATGTTGTGCTGAAGTCGCTAACACCTGCGCCCAAGGAATTTGGACTCATGGGCTAGGCCGGTACCCTACATGGAGCTGGCTTGTTAAACTTCGACGGTCCAGTCCAAACGTCACAGACCAGCCGAGGCAGTGCTAAGGCCCAAGGGGATGTCGGGAGGTGAACTAACGATGTCGCGCAGTTTATGCGATCATGCGCAATTCGTTTCTATTTCCACCCTAGAACAGCCAGATCGAGATGGTGAGGTAGAAGTCTCGCGTGCTTCTAACCGCTTCAAGGTGTCATCGCCCTCCATTTGATATCCGTAGTAACCGTCTCAGTCCTTCCGAAACGTGCTCTCCGCATGTGGTGTGACCCGGGTTATGCTGATTTGGGTGGCGCGTTCTTGTGGTGGCCGTCTCCGCGCGGAGTAAGCCCCGAACGGTGGTTCCTGCCGCTTCACTAGCGCGCTACATGGTTGGGGAGTCCGCTCACGTCAACGCCTCGCGCTTCCACCACAGCTACTCTATATCGGTACCCGTTCAACATCTGTCCAATCGCGAAACGGCTCTAGTAGGGATCTTGTATGAAGCGAGACGAAATGTGGCAAAGAAACTCTATACGCGATCAACAGCCCCAATGCGGTTGCTCATGCCGAGGCTTGCCAGATACTTTGATCATTGGAGGGCGACCATAAGAAGAAGATTACGACATCGAATCCAAAGCGGAGGAAACGCATGTTGAAGGAGCTCTCATTGTTACATTGATTATGTCCACGAGTGTGTGGAGCAATTCGACTTCGGAGCCACCGACTCGATTGCTCTTACCCCCATCAAATGTACACCATCGTCAGATCAGACCGCATCGTTGTCCATGCAGGAACGGCACTACGGCTGCTTTAGTAGCCGTCAGACACCCGCTCGTAGCATGTTCATGGAGTCTTCCGCCCCAGTACATTACCACATTTCCATGAATTCGTCCAAACTAGGGACGACCTGTCAGGTACGCATGAATCGCGTGAAGTATGCGGCCAAACGATCCACTTTAGCCTACCGGATCTATACGACGTTTTGGAAGAATGGGTTCCCAGTCGAAGAGGCCGCTCGTTGTATGCTAACATTGCACGTAATCTTGTGGCGTATAAACTAGACTGTAGACTGAGAGTTAGTTCTGCTGGGCGCGGACGAGCCCAACTGTCCTCCGAGGAGCCTCAAACTGTATCAAGGGTCTGGCCGAGTTAGTACTTTGACGCAATGCAGGCGTACCCGATGCCTCACGTCCCGTACACGTGGAGCCGAGTGTGAGGGCCCGTCGTTAGGTAGGCTTGTGCTTAGCCTGCTTCCAACAATGGTCCAGCACGGGGGGCGGCTGGGCGCGATTGCCATTGAACAACTCGATCCCATGGCGAAAAGGGATCGAAACTTTCATGGAACACTGCTGTCTTGAGCCAGGCTCACGGATATGCTAATGCAGGCGGTATGTCGACATTCCCTTCTTTTTATAGCAAACCAATAAATGCAGTAGGTTCAGGATGCTGGCGAGTCCTGGTAATCGTGAAGGCTGTAGAGCAGATGAACTCTACTAATGCGATAGCGACGAAACTTCGCAAACAGTGTGATCGTGAGGCGGTGTACTCCTATATGGCCGTTGATGGATTGCCAATGTACTCGATTGTTGTCGCAAACTAAACCCCTCCCGGGAATTGTTGGTGGCATACGGATAGAGACGCTGCGAGTATTGTATGCATTAGACTGAGATATTCAAGACACGAAAGACGGTAAAGACTAGAGAGACCATTGGGAGTTAGGTGCACCTCGCAGACACTCGCATTCTGTGTTTCCTCACTTGCTACGCATTTCTTGATAGTCACCCAACATGAAGTACAAAAAAAAAGGCAAAAAGAAGGTGATCATGCTCCTGCTCGAACCGAGTTCGTGACAGACCCACGAGCAAAAACATACAACAGCGAGGATTCGCTAGTGGTCACCCACCTAACTACTAATTCGCCGGTACACTGCTTGTATATGGCTGAGCGGACGGGAAGCCTAATTCTCAATGTCCTATGGTCGTATGTGAAGGGATAACCCATTTGTGATGTTTATGACCTGAGTGGGTGAGTGTATGGTGAAGCTGCACCAGAATGGGCGAGCGCAGTCGGATACCCGTGGGAAAACCTAGAAACACGAACATGTCCTGTCCAGCGTGCAAGCAGGTAGAAACTGTCGGTCATAAAGAGGGGATTTCGGGCCCAACCAGCAGACCGCAGCTTCTCTATACATGCAATGTCACTGCTCAGGGTCCTCTGTTCTGGAGTTGAATGTGTCTCTATCATAGACACTAAGAGATGTGCAAGAAATATACGTATGTGTAGGCAACGAGACTACCCAACAGCACGATGTTGGAGAGACAAAGACAAGCAGTGTTGAACCTGGAAGAACCCCTTGGTCGCGCGTCGGCCAATGAGAGCGGGTATGACGTTTAGCGCGGGAGCTTGGCTGTGGTTCCCTTGCAACGTCTCGTCGCAAGCCGACATTGCGCAGCACCAACCGTACCCGTGAGCTCTATCACAACCAGCTGCATCTTCCATCTCGTCCCATCCGCCTCCGCCCCAATCCGTTGCGCCCAGTCGTCAAAGTGCGGTTCCCACACCTCGCCGGTCAATCGTCCGCCATGGATTTCTCAGACATCTTGTGAGTAGAGCTCGAGCTGTGCGAAGCTGTCCCGAAGCTAGGCAGCAGCTTTCCGCAGAGCCATTGGGACTTGGGAGTGTCGAGGATCATAGCTAACTGGGCCTGTAGTCGCATGGTGAATTTCGCCGTTGCCGTATTCGTGGTCCTCGGTGGTATCGCGAAGTTGTTCCCCTTCAACGACTTGTGAGTGTACCCGGCGCCTCCATCGGCAATCCAATCCCGTCGCATCGCCTCTCCCCGTCGTACAACCTTCGGATGGCGTACTTTATCTGGCGAGCACATAATGGCAGGCGCGTGTGGATGCGGAGAAGAGCGCAAGCTGTCAGTCGAAGGACACTCGCTAGCTTGGTCCATGTCCGTCTGGGCCTGCGCTGGGCTTGAATACCATACACGCGAATGTGCGCATCCGTGACGACGAACAAGCATCGTATGGATTGGGATTGCACCACCAGTCATGCCACCCGAAGATCGCGAGCGAAGCACACAACCACATCAAATGGCCTAGGAAAGCGCTGACAGTCTGCGCAGCTCTCACATCATCCTCGGTGTATACCTGATCATATTCGGTCTCGGTAAGATCGAGCGTCCTCTCGCTGCCACATGCCGCTGACAAGCAACAGGAACTGCCCTCCTCGAGTTTCAGATTCCCCAGCAAGTGGCACGCTATGCCTCCTTCATGTTCTCTTTCCTCGGCCGCGGCATCTTCTACATCTTCATCGGCTCCGTCATTGTCGGTGAGCGCTGGTTCCGCATTGTGCCAGGCACTATCGTCGGCATAATCGGTGTGGGCTACGCCGCTCTGGAGTTCATTCCTTCCATTGAGCCGCCAGCGAACATGCGGTACGACTCCAATACACTTTGAAAACGAGTCTTTCATGTTACTGACGATATTGCAGCGATGCTGACGCTGGTTGGGGCGCTGAGCAAGTCTAAGTCCGCAGCTCTTGGACAGGAGGACGGCGGTCGAAGAGTCCTCATTCGTAGATCGCTCGCCCTGTCTAGGCTCGGTAGAAACCTCGTCGCGCGCTTATCATGTATTAAACCAAGTATTACATGTTATGGACATGTCTGGCGTAGAATTGGTCTGCGGACCCTGACGGAAAGGGTTGGCTCTGTGCATTGTGTTGGATTTTCAAGGTTGGCTCGATCATACCCAGGTTTTGGTTACATGGGTTGGGGAGGAGCTTTTCAGTCGGTGTATGATAGGTTGTCTGATCTAAACGAGGCTGTAGTCGTCACACGTGTTCGCTTGTCTGTCTAGTGTCCGCAGTGCATGAAGCGAAGAGGCTACTAAGGCTTGCATTTCTACTAGTGTATCATGACGGGGCTCGTTGCATTCCATGATAGGCCTACAGATCGAATATGTTGTAGTTTGTACAGTTACAACAACGATAACGCCATTCTGGACGAGTTGTTTCGCCCCCCTTCGATTGGTGCAAGGCTGCGTGAGTGGCGTGCGGAGAGCAACCATTACAAATCGCTAGTGGTAGGCGAGACGGATCTGATCCGCCGACAGCTGGTCTATGGCGAGGCTCAAGTGGAGTCCAAGACTGATAGAGCCGATTTTTCCTTTTTCTTGCCGCCGAGCCCATGTATCGGAGATAACGACTCCCGACTTGCATCTTGAATGCATGTACCTGAGGGTTGGTTGGCTCTGCATCCAGAAATATGCAGGTGCGACGCGCGAGACGAATGCTCTTTCGCCGTTCCTGAGCTTGTCTTATGGCTACGGCCGCCGTGGACGTGCTCTCAGGGTTGTCGCGCTAATCCTCGGCTTAGAATAGCAAAGTCTTGATTGGCCACCGCCGCCCATTCACCGCCTAAGAATTACAGCTTGTACCGCACCAGCACCGCCAGGCCAGTAGGCAACTTGCGCAGAATTATGACGACGGGGATCCCGAGCGCACCTGATATCATCCCTTGCTAGACCCATCATTCTTATAGTTGTTTGCCAGCCA